GTTTGCGCCACCAGGGCGCTACTGGACTTCTTGTACATTGCTCAGTATCCTATCCATACCGACGAGACCCTTACCGCCCTTGACAACTCGCTGCGTGGATTTCACGAGAACAGGCACATCTTCGTCGACCTGGGCATCTCAACATCCCCAAACTCCACTTCCTGAACCACTACCTCCGTGCCATCAAGCTTTTTGGCTCAACCAACAACTACAACACTGAGGCCACTGAACGGCTCCACATCGACTTTGCCAAACTTGCATATCGGGCCACAAACCGCAAGGACGAGTACCCGCAGATGACTAAGTGGCTCGAGCATCGCGAAAAAATACTTCATCACTCGAACTTTATCTCATGGCAGGATCGGCAGCGGGATGGTGCTCTTGCGCGTGACATGGACCGGTGGCGGCCGTCAGATCTATCATGCAAGCTCATCCACAAGATGACGCGGCACCCGTCCCAAAAGGCCGTCCCCATCACCGATATTACTTCAAACTCCTACTATGCTGCAACTTACCTTCTCCCTGCCCTTGCTCGCTTATCGTTACCTTCCAGCACCCCACTTATATACCCCGTCAAGTTGAGGAGGCCGCCAGCGACATCCATTTTCCTTTTCACAGTCTTCCCGTCTTCCACAAAATCAAATGCTGGAATGTCGAAGCTCGCGGAAATGTGACCCTCGACTCGCTCCATGTAGCTCCTGCGCGTGTTGATGATGCCGGGAATATCCTTGCCCCAGCGCGCTTTGATACAGCTTTGGTTCGTGTTCAGAGCACAGCCGATGACCAGCCCGCAGCCATGTCCCGCATCACCGGTACACTCAGATGCTTATTTCACTTGTCTTGAGCTGACTTTAGACATCCCTTCAGGTCACCGAGTAGCTCAAGTTCGGGTTGTGTTTTCCCTCCCCGAGTCATCACTACCAATCCTATTTCCTTCCAAGGTCTACCCTCCCAGCCACTTGGCATATGTTGAGTGGTTTTCGAAGTTTACACGGTCACCAGAGCCGAATTTCAAGATGTACAAAGTTCGTCGTTCTCTGAAGGACGGGCAGCGGGTCGCCTCTGTTGTTCCGATTGACATCTTACAGCGTAGTGTTCATCTTCTTCCGAAGTGGGGGGCTGCCGTACCGACACATTGGACGAGCCATTCTGTCCTCGATGACTGTACATGGTTCTTAGTAAACTGATTCAAGGACCCGCATACTCACTTTAATCTGTACTAAAACCACTGTAATTTCTTACGCCTTCTTTCCCCTACTTGTAAATCGACAAAACTGGTTGAAATTAGTTGGATTGTCTGAGTTATCAACATTCACAATAATTCATCTTATTCCAAAGCGTTTTACCACGGGAGGTTTTTCCTGATGAGGACCAAAGGGAGAATCAAGGGAATGTTGTCGCCATAAGCCGTGGAGTGCATTTTCTGGAACAAAGAAACAGGACTTGTTAAGCTTTGAGGTAATCAAGACCGAAGGTAGATCACGCACCTTGAAACGGCGTACACGTCCTCGCCAGGCAGGCTAAGGTCAGCCCAATTTTCTCACCCATCATGCCAGTCATGCTCCAGGAACTTTTCAAAGATGATACGCTGCATTTCATTGACGTGTAGACAGGCGTGCATGAGATAAGGTAAGAGTTGGAGCAGGGATAGAGATGGTGCGTCCGAAACAATCAATCAACTCCTGTACCACAAGCGCCACACCCAGGGGAATGCTCCGGACCTGTCATCATGGTGGGATGGCCGAGCGGTCTAAGGCGCCAGACTAGGGACCAACATGCCCAGCGTGTACCCAAATCTGGTCATTCGGGGCGTGAGTTTGAATCTCACAGTTGTCATTTTCTTCCTGCCTTTCAACTTTTTCATCCTTCCTTTCGAAGCAATCAATGTGGTGGCGAGTTTATTCAACTAGATCTGGACTCCGACGAAGGTTGCTGTCCATTCTCGCAACTAGACAATCACTCGCTTATGCTAATTGGCTACTTACAGGCATGAAATGGAAGGAGTAAAAGTGGTTTGAATGTAACATAAAAATCGAAGTGAGAAAGTGAGTAGAATAGAATTGTCCTGC